AAAAATAAAGAAATTAAAATATTTATAAAAAACCCAAAAAACATCAGAATAACTCAATTTGGGAAAAAATAAAATGAGGAGGTAGAGGAAAGATCATAAGTTTTTTCTCCCTCTCTTTCTCATTGCCCTTGAGTCAAAAGTGACTCATAGGTGACCCTCCATTGGGTTTCCAAGACTGCATTCACATGGAAAGAGATTGTCCATCTTTTTCCCATAGAGTTGCTAGTGGCTTAGAACTGCCAGAGAGTCACAGTTTTGAGTTTGCAGGTGTCTAAGATCCCCTTTCTCATTTTTAGAGACAATAAAAAGACTGTTAATTGTACTTGCCCTGCCTATGCAGGTTTTCTATCTAATGAATGTGAAAGGAGTGGATGCAACATGAGGTAGCTGAGTCTGACTTCTACCTACTTCATAAAGTGAAACTGTCCCCATCAATAATAGCTATAGCAATAAACAGCTGCTAGATCAGACACCCCTCCTCCCAAGTTCCATATTAAGGAAATAAGTTGGAGGATGAGGGAGGCAAAAAAATATCACCCAGTGCAAGTATAGATTTAGTCCAGTAGTCTCAAGGCATAGTTCTTCAATTAGTCCAGGTTTTCAGGTTTCAGTTGAGCTGTCAGCTTTTTCTTCCATTATGTGGCAGGAACAACAAAACTTTTAACTGTGGTCTCTATCTCTGGATTCCTTTGGTTACACCTTGTCACAGTGTCTCTACAGCAATACCACAGTCTGTCCACTATAATCACCAGGGTCTCGCTCCTATTCTCTCACTCTCACCAGGGTCTTGAGCTGGTCTCATTCTCTCAAGGGTCTTGCTTCTCTCTCAAGTCTTGCTACTTTGTGTGGGAAGCACTCTCTCTCTCTCTATCTCTTATTATAGTCCCATAGCTGTTGATGATTTTCAAGACCATGTATCTTCAGTTAAAGTAGCTGGAGACCAGCAGAAGCTACTGTAATAGCTAGAAAAACCTAACTGTAAACCAGCACTGCAATTAACAAAAAAAGATATTTAGGAGTGCCTTGTACACTGATTCTCATTTACTCAAGATCAATTATTTATTGCCTCCTGTCATACATAGTCGTATCAAGAAACCAGATATAAGACATTTATCAATAAGAGCTTGTTCTGCCTCTGAATGCATTCTTTGTACCTTACAGTTTCTGATGTTTTTTTTTTACAAAACTTTCACCATATTGTAATTGCCCAACATCACTCTTTCTACCATCATTTCTATGTCCTACTTTATTCCAGATGCTGTTCTTATGTAGGTCGGAGGGGAAATGGACCTCAGGCAATCTCTATTGGCAAGAACTGTGATAAATTTGGAATTGTTGTACATGAGTTGGGCCACGTGATAGGTTTTTGGCATGAACACACACGCCCAGATCGAGATAACCATGTAACCATCATAAGAGAAAATATCCAACCAGGTGAGAAATTCAGAATATGCTACTTCTAATAGTGGATTAAAATATTTTAATTTCATTTATAATATTTATTATTTAATTTCTTTAAAAGTGTAAGCTAGTTATTTCCTATAGTAAAATCAGCATTTTGTTTGATCAAAGAATAACTAGGAGAGTTTTATGTAAGTTGGCTTTTATATTCTTCCTCCTGGAGATGAAAATATTTTTTGTCTTTTAGGCTTGTTTGTTTACCTTGCTCATTATTTTTCATGTCTATGCTTTCCAATAATTAGTGTAATATATTGATCCAAAAATTAATATTACTAAGTGCATTTTAATATTTTTCCATATAGTTCTAGAACATATGTTGAAGATGTATGCTAAAAATGCAGGATTTTTCATGAAATGTGCAGTATTGCCTTAAGAATCTATATATTTTTAGTATAACTTCTGCTAAGAATTCCTAAGAAATGAATTAGTACTTGAATAACCTAAACAATATCTTTGATATTTTTCCCTAAAAATTTACTCCTACTCTAAAGACAAATTCTTTAAAAATAGGGGTTTTTTTTTAGTACTTGAAAGACAATTTTGAATTCTAGTTTAATTTCTGTTAATATGTTATAACTTCCATTTAAAACTTTTATTTTTTTATTTTAATAATTCAAAAATCTACACATTTTAATTACCCTTCCCTCCCCCCCTGCTAGATTCTTTATAATGTTCCATAAGCAAAATAAATGTACGTTCTAATTTGTCAACAGCCATTTCTAGAATTTTCACATTTTATACTAATTATTTATTAATAACACGATAGATATCATTTCTCTCCTAAAAAAAATCCCTGCTACTAAATTCTTGTATGAGATATATTAAAATTATTGTGAGTGAATGAAAATAGTGATAATAGTTTATGTTGACAAATTAAGGGATATGTATTCCAAAGGAAATTAAGTTTAAAAGTACGAAAGTACTAAGTAAACATAAGAGTGATTGAAAAGTTATGCTAAAGGAACATCATGAAAAGACTGTTATTATAAAAAATGAATTGTGTTTATTTGACCATTATTGATGCAGTGTATTTGACAAATGGAAGATTAGTTGATCATGACCTTGGAAATTTATACCAGGAATTATTAATCTGAGAATTTAGGTTTTATCTTTTAACATCTGTGTATAACTGAAGTATTGCAAACAGAGCAAGTTTATATTTTTAAAATGAATCTGTTAGTTTTATGACTATTTCCTGACGGTGCAAATGTGTGTGTGCGAAGGATTAGCATAAAGTCAGGACAATCTATAGGAAGCTGAAATCAGTAGTCCACAGGAGATTAATAAAGCTAAATTAGTGCAGTATAAACCAAGAAGGAAGAAGAAGGGTTGTCTTATAAAAGTATTTTAAGTAAAGTGATATCATGTGAGTGCAAAATTTCAAGGTTATCTTTTTGGGGAATAGAAAAAAACTGAGGACAGTATTATCAACACATCTGAAATAAGACAAATGGATAAGAAGACCAAATTGGAGAAAGAAAAGCAAATAATGGTTTCATTAACATCTTGACTTTGACAAACCTTTGTATTATCTTAGCAGAAATGTTTAAAAGACAAAGGAAAGGTTACTCTGAACTTTAGCGTGTATCTCCAGATGAAAAGAAAATTATAGTAAAATTAATTGTGTAGGTAAAATTGGAAGGAAGGAGAAGTTTGAGTACAGAAAATGGAAAACACCAATATTTAAACAATATTTAGTAGAAGATTCACCCCACCTCCTTACCCCATCCAGGCAGGGGTGAGTGAGGACTAATAAGTTATGATCTACGAGGAAAGAAGAATCAATGAAATATGTGCTATTACAGAATCCCAAATAGGCAATCATTTCAATAACAATCTATTGTGAGGTCAGGTGTGTGTGAGATGATGAGGTTGGCTATAGATAGGGCAAGGTTCAGAGCCATTGTTCAAAGGGTCACTATGAGATAAAGGTGACTCAGTGACACATCACAACACAATCTGTTGTACTGATTATCAACAAAGAGTAGTAAAGGGCATATATATCCCTTTTACTGCGTAGAAGTGTGAAACAAATTATGACCTTAATTATGTTATTCAGGACAATAATAATATTTTTCTAAGATCACCTGAATACTTGGAAGTATTCTAATAATATGATCTGTGTGGATCATAATAAGTTATGACTAACATTTAAAAGAATGGAAATCCCAGAACACTTGATTGTGTTCCTGCGAAACCTATACCTAGACCAAGAAGCTGCTTTGTGAACAAAGCAAGTTTTAAATGGTTGAAAATTAGAGTCTAGGTGGTTCAAAATTAAGAAAGGTGTGTGTCAGAGTTGTATTATTTCCCCATATATATTCAATCTGTATGCTGAAAAAATTATTTGAGAAGCTGGACTCTATAAGGAAGAATGTGGCATTTGGATTGGAAGAAGACTCATCAATAATCTTTGTTATATGAATGACACAACTTTTTTTGCTAGAACTAAGGAAGAATTGAATCATTTACTACTGAAGATCGAACACTGCAGACTTCAGTATGGATTGTATCTCAAGATCAAGAAAGCAAACATTTTCACCACTGGACCAATAAGCAACATCTTGATAGGTGGCAAAAAGATTGAAACCCAATCTTTCTTTATCTTTCTTGGATCCACAATCAATACAGTTAGTACCAGCAGTCAGGACACCAGGGGCCATACTGAACTGGTAAAGTCTGAAGTCAGGGACCTCTCCAAATTACTGAGGGGTTAGTTTGAGAAAAAAAAAAGTGCCTGATTCAGACCATGGTCTTTTCAAGCACTTACTATGCATCTGAAAGATGGACAATAAAGAGAACAGAAGAAAAATTTATGCCTTTTCACTGTGATATTGGAGGAAAGTACTGAATATCCCATGGACTTCCAAAAGAACAAACATATATTTTGGAGAAGGTGAAGCCATATTGCTCATTGGAAATAAGGATAGCAAAGCTTAACTCATATAATTTGGGCGTGTTACTAGGAGAGGCTATACTTTGGAGAAGGACATTATACTTGGAAAATTGGAGAGATGGCTAAGAAGAGGAAGAACCTCAACTAGGTGAATTGACACAGTGACTGTAGAAATGGGCATAAATGTGTCAGAAATAGTGAGGTTGGCACAAGATAGAACAGGATTCAGATCTGCCATGCATAGGATCATTTATACATGACTTGAGGGTACCTAACAACAACAGTATGAACTATCAGACTCGATAAAAGCACAACAACAAGAAACATGAAATGGTCCATAGTTAGACACATATCTTCATTATATTTGTGGCTTTCCATAGAGGCTTTCTTATGGGAGCTTTGGTAACCTAGTGGTAAAGAACCTTGCAGTTCCGAAAGCATATGACTGAAATCCACCATCCACTCTGCCAGATAATGTTGGACAATTTCCTCTTGTACAATTAACTGCCTCTGGAAATCCACTGGCGGTCAGGTATGGGTTGGGTCTAATGCAATATAACAAAACAACAGAGGCTTTCTAGTCTCTAGTTCTAGAGACTCAGAAGGAAGCTCTGGTGGCCTTGTAGTAAGAAGCCACACTACCATCTCAAAGGCAAATGGGTTTAATCCATCAACTGTTCTCTGAGCAAACGATGGGCAATCTTCTCTTTTGCAATTAAACTACCTATAACAACCCACTGTAGGGGCAGCTATCAGTCTTTTCCCATTAATGGCACAACTGTTACTCAGAAACATGAATTCAAGTTTTATTTGAGAACAATGGCTAATAAGAAAGGAGATTTTATGGTACTTGACTGCTAACAAAAAGGTGAATTTTTTGAAACAACCAGCCACTCCAGTAGAAAAAAATGAGATGGTCATCTTTTGTACACTTTTGATAATCCCAAAAGAAAGTTCTATCTTGTACTTTAGGTTTGCTGAGTTGGATCAAACAAGGGCAGGTTTTAGCTTTATAGTTTTATGTAAAGTTTATGAAAATTGCAATAATCAAGTTGGTATCAGGATTATATTACACTGATCCATGACTTTAGAATACAACATGAAAAGGAGGCCTATCTATCTATCTATCTATCTATCTATCTATCTATCTATCTATCTATCATCTACCTACCTACCTACCTATCTATATTGTTAAGTTTGAGTTACCCTGCTGTTCTGTGTATCTGATTCTTTTCTATTGTTTTATGAATTAAGTTTGATTTTATTTGTTTAGATTATACATTTCTTTTAAACTATCACACAAACCTGTGTCAGGTTAAATGCTCAGTTATATACATTGAAATGTATTACTTGAGTTTATTTAATGTTTTGTTTCAAGAAGTTTTTGTAACACATGTTGCATTAATTGACAAATATATTAACCATATCCTACTTAAGCTTGAAATTTTCAGAATGTTATGGATTGGGAATTGTAAAATCAGCTCCATTGTTTTATAAAATACCTCCCTTAGAAATTATACATGAAATTACTCAGATGAAAATTTTCTCATTTGCTTCTGTCTGCAATGAAGAGAATACAAAACATTTCTGAAGAATTTTTGTAATACAGAAAGTCATAACAAAGATTTAGAAGCACTTGTTTTACCATATGGACTGACTAGTTTATTAAAAACCATTTAATGTGTACATTAATGGATAGACCAAAACACTTTGGTCTAGTATTTGAGTCTTGTAACCAAAGGCTTATTTCTGTCATCCATAATGTGCAAATGAAGAGAGCAAATTTCCTTACCGCATGAAGGAATGGTGTTATACTCTCTGCCAAACTTTATTTCTTCATTGTCTTTTGAAAACTTCCTTATGGTGGTATTCAGAATAAAAACCTACTCCTCTCCATTTTTAAACTACACCCTTGAATTCTTACTTCTGGCGTGACAACACTGATTCTGATATAGAATTTTATTTTAAATGGTTTTAAAGTCTGTGACCTTTTGGAAGCAGCTCACCGGATCTTGCTTCTAAGGCAACAGTGGATTAGTAGGCCTGTGCTCAATTGTTTTTGCCACTCATTGACTCTTGCGTCTACTAACATGTATTGCATAGTGCCACTGTTATAAAACGGTACTGACATCGGGCTTGAGGAGAGACTTAGAAAGAACAGCGAATTGGGGAGGGGGTGAGGTAAAGAAAAAAGTGCAGCAATGAATAAATGAAAATCCAAAATCTCTGTAAATGTTCATTAAAAATAATAAAATTTTAAAAAAGGGAATAAATATTTCATACTGCATTGAAACTGATGATGGAGAGAACAGTTTAAACGTGATATATTATTAGATATTATTATTATGACAAGAGTCCAGAATGAAGGTTGGCTACATAGTCGAGTGGTCTCGGGGGAGGGAGGGATTGTATAACAATGAAAGAATTTTTCTTTTACTTTTCAAAGAGAAAAGCGAACTGGGGGAGGAGAGGGTGTAGGGAGAAAAATGCAACAATGAATGAATGGAAATCCAAAGTCTCTGTAAATGTTCATTAAAATTAATAAAAAAAATTAAGAAAGATGTGTGTCAGAGTTGTATCCTTTCTCCATACTTATTCAGTTTGTATGCTGAGCAAATTATTCAAGAAGCTGGACTCTGAAGAACAATGTGGCATCAGGACTGGAGGAGGACTTATCAACAACTTGCGGCATATAGAGGATACAATATTGCTTGGTGATAGTGAGGAGGACTTGAAGTTTTTGCTACAGAAGTTCAAACAACAAAAACCTTCAAAATGAACCACACATAAATGTTAAGAAAACAAAAATCCTGACCTCTGGACAAATAGGCATCATTTTGATAGATGGAGAAAAGATTGAAACTGTTGATGACTTCAATTCTCTTGGCTCCACAATCAGTACCCTTGGTACTAGCAGATAGGAGATCAGGAGACATACTACACTGGGAAAATCTGTAATCAGGGACTTCTTCAAATTATTGAGGATCAGCAATGTCTGCTTGAGGACTACAGTGCATCTGATTCAGATTTTGGTCTTTTCAGTCACTTGTTATATATAACTGAGAGCTGGACAGTGACTACGGATGACAGAAGACAAATTGATGTCTTTTGAGTTGTGGTGTTGCAGAAGAGTATTGAATATCCCACAGGCTGCCAAAAGAACAGATATGTCTTGGAGAAGGTGCGGCCCAAGTGCGCTTTGGAGCCAAAGATGATAAAGCTTTGTCTTACGTACTTTTGTTATGTTGCTTGGAGAGAGACATCATGCTTGGAAAGGTGGAGATGTCAGCAAAAGAGACAAAGACTCTAAGTCAACCAGATTGGCACAGTGACTATAGCAGTAGGATATGTTAGCAATTGTGAGGATGGCACAGGACAGTGTTCAGATCTATTGTTCATAGGGTCACCATGTGTTGTACTCGATGCGATGTTACCTAACAACTTATTGAAAAAAGTCAAGCCAATACTAAGATGATGTTGTTGTGGAGCTGACAAGTGCAGACAAAAATGAGAAAGCCATGAGGTAAAAATTTGATGTTTAATTATTCTATATAACAGTGAAAAAGCAGCAGATATGTTAAATGAGAAATATTATGAGTTGATAAAAGACTCCACATAGGAAACCAATACAACGTATGCTTTGTATAATCAACTCCCCCTCTCCCATAAATTACCTTATTGATGAAATTAAGGGAGCTTTAGTGGCGTAGTGATAAGGAGTTGCACTGCCAACTCAAAGGCAGGCAGTTCACATCTACTAGCTGCTCCTTGGGAGAAATACGGACTTTCACTTCCTTTGTGATTTACAGCCTCCGAAAACTTACTGGAGGGTTAGCTATGAGTCAAGACTGAGTGAATGAATGAAAGTCAGCATTTTTCCTTCAATAATTTAATATTTATTATAGTACATACCCAGATACTGGATATATCTTTTGTGTGGCTTGCTAATAGTAAACAGCAACATGAATACCACACTTCAGTAAAGTAAAGAAAGAGGGCTTAGAAGCTTTCTAAGCGGTTCTTTATTTCCAATTCTTAGGCCAAGAATACAATTTTTTGAAGATGGAGCCTGGAGAAGTGAATTCACTTGGAGAGAGATATGATTTTGACAGTATCATGCACTATGCCAGGAACACCTTCTCAAGGTTGGAGTCTCAGGTTATACTTTTTGACTTTTAATTCTTTTCCTCATGTGATTCCTCACAAAGTTATATTTGACATTAGAAATAAAACCACCTTTAAATAGCATTGCCTTATGGCAAAATAGAGTAAAAAAAAAAAAAAAAAGCAAAATCTTCATGAGCTTTTCTTGTGAATATCAGACTTTTGAACAGATTTTTTAACGTATTATCACATTTTCTGTCAAATGCATAAACTGATCATGACAATTTAAGATAATTTACATAAATGGAATTATTTTCTATATCCAAAGCACAAAAAATCAATTAAGGCTATACTCATACCAGCCTATTAAATTGGCAAAACATTATTTAAAAGAAATTATACCTTCATAAGTAATTTAAGGAATGTGGTTGTTGTATTGGAATTGTTATACTCCCTATACAACTTGTATCCAATATTGTATGTTTCTTTTTGCTCAAGTAAATCAGTAGTGTGGAAACATTAGTATTAGAGTCATAGTTTGCTTCCTGCAGTTAAAATTTTATTCTATCCCTCATAATTTTAAAATTGTATTATTACTCATTGACTACCATTTTTGGAAATTGTTTGAAATATATGCCTTGAATAATACTTTCTTAAGATTATGCCAATAGGCAAAAAATAATCAGGTAAGAAATTTGAGATTGTAAAACCATTAAAATTAATTCATTGCCTCTTTTTCTCACTTTCTGCCCATTTTCACTCATGTACTTGCAGTAATACATTCATTTTACACCCTTTATGTCTATTTTACAACTCATCAACAGTTTTTTCTTTCTTTATTGTAGTGAAGGTTCACAAAGAGATTGGTTTCATTCATTCATGCACATTTTCCTCTCCCTCTCCTGAAACTCCTTTTGTAATGTTTTTCTGTTCCATGCTATTAATTGTCATACACAAATTTCTAATTGTCCATTCCTTTCAGGTTGTCCTTCCTTTTCACCCATTCCAGGGCATTATTCATTCTCTATCTATTATTTTCTCCCTCTGACCCCCTCTACTCCATGTTGATCCTTTTATTAGAAGGTTTATGCTGTATTTGTTCTTTTGTGCCTGAGATATTTCACTCAGCATAATGTCTTCTGGACTCATCTATTTTGTGTAGTGATATATGAGTTTATTGTTTTTCCGTGCTGCATAATATTCCCTTATGTGAATTTACCATATCCATTTTATTATTGATAGGTATTTGAATAGTTTCAATCTCTTTGCTTTTGTGAATAATGCTGCTATAAACATGGGTATACATACAGCTGTTTTTTTCATAGCCTCTGATTAATTTGACGTATATTCTCAGTGTGATTGCTGGGCCAAATGGTGTCTCCAGTGCCAAATTTTTGAGGAAATACCAGAGAGCTTTTCATAGTGGCTATACCATTTTATGTTCCTACCAACAGTTTATGAGAGTTCTGATCTTTCTACATCTTCACCAACATTTTTGTTTGCTGTCCTTTTGAACTTTATAATTTTAGCTGGGGTGAGATGATGGCTACTTTTTGTTTTGGTTTGCATGTCTCTAATTGTGATTAAACTGCCTCTAAAAATCCACATTTTAAAAACCTACATATTGTAGTGTCTGCAATAATCGCTTATGATTTCACATATTGTTTTTGGTATTTGTGTGACATAAGACCTTCTTCGGTGAATCTATTATTCATCTCTTTTGCCCATTTTGGATTGTTGTTGTTTATGACTCATAATGACTCTATGAATACCTAATCTGAACCCTGTCCTATCTTGTTCCATCCTCACAGTTTCAGACACTCTCAGGCTCTTTGCTGCAGTCATTGTGTCAATCCATCTGGATGAACATTTTCTTCTCATTCACTCTCCTTCCACCTTCCCAAGCATGATGTCCCTCTCCAATGTATAACTTCTCCTAGCAACATACCAAAGTGTGTGAGAAGGCTTTTCCCATGAGCAGCCTCAGGTGATCTATTGAAATGATTCACTACTTGCTTGACTTGAAAAACCCCAGAAGATCATGCAAATCAAGAGACTCAAATCGCTGAATCCTTTTTAAGAACACCTGGGACATTGTCCAGGCCATCAAGGGTATGCATAATCATAAAGCCACCAAGTATCTGAAAGAGATCACTTGGCAAAAGCAGAGTTTGCCATTCCAGCATTACAATGGTGGAGTTGGTAGGTGTGCCAAGGCCAAACAGTGGGGTTGGTCACAGGGTTGGTGGCCCAGAAAGAGTTCTCAGGTGTTGCTGAGTATGTTTAAAATCAGATAGTAATACTGAACTTAAGGTTTTAGATGTTGATTCTCTGATTCATTGAGCACATCCAAATGAACAAAGCTCCCAAGATGTGCTGCTGCACATACAGAGCTCTTGGTCGGATTAACCCCTACATGAGCTCCCCCTGCTATATTGAGATGATCCTTCACGAAAACGAACAGATTCTTCCTAAAACAGAAAAGAAGGTTGCCCAGAAATATCTTTCAGAAGAAAATGAAGGGAAGGGGGTGGTGGAGAAAAAAAACACCCCAAAGAAACAAAAACAAAAACCAAACAACTTATGGCTTGAGTTTCATCAAATAAAATGAAAATAACTTTATAAAACAAACAAACAAACAAACGTGTATGAGATGAAGCTTTATCATCTTTGCCTCCAAAGAGCACTCTGGCTGCACCTTCTTCAAGACATATCTGGTTGGTGTTTTTGGTTTTGTTTTTTTTGCAATCTCTGGCGTGTTCAACAACTCTCCTCAACATCACAGTGCTAAGGCATCAATTATTCTATCATCCTTAGTCATTGTCTAGAAAAGATCATGGCTTGAATCAGGTGCACTTTAGTCCTCAAACAGGCAGCATTTCTCTGCAGTAATTTGGCAAAGTCTAGGACTGCAGCACCACAGCTCAAAGGAGTCAATTCTTCTATCCTCCCTAGTCATTGTCCAACTATCTGATGCATAACAAGTGATTGCAAAAACCATGGCCTGTATCAGACAC